ACATTCTATACCGGCAAGACAACGAGCTCGCGGCTCGGTGATTAGAGCGTTAAACTTCTGACAAAAGAGATGCGAGTTCGAGTCTCGAGCGGTGCACCACCTGGAGTTGGGTAGGAATGACTAATGAGCCTGAAATGGCCATTCTAGTCCAGCAGGCCTAGAATGCTAGCCGTCATGCGGCGGCTGGCAGGGCCTGGGAATGAGCCCCATGGCGGAGCGGGACGAGTGAGCACCGGTAGCGATCGGTGCACCTTAATCAACGACGGAGCGTGCGAGCCTGCCAGTGATGGCCCATGGAGGAGTCATAGCTAATCATGAAAAAACTAGCAAGTCAAAGTACCCGCGTCAAGCATGAAACGTCCGCAGAAATGGATCCCGACCTGGCCTTTGTTTTTCCTGGAGTTGGGTAGGAATGGCTAATGAGCCTGAAATGGCCATTCTAGTCTTCGGATGTTTACAATAACGATGATGATGAATTTGATCTATAACTAAACATACCCAACACTTATTAGTTCATTTTAAATATCTGAATACGGACACAATCAAACTGCTTCCAATTAACATGAGCAAGTGCCTAGGTCTAAACATTCTTGCTGTAGCTGAAGGAATCTGAGCCTTTGGCAGAACATACTGGATGTCTAATCTTGTCTTAATTGCAATTCTTTACGAGCCGATGAGGTTTTTTGACAGCCTAACGAGTGGACACAATACAGAACTAGTAATTTCACTCTTCTTTTAATTCGTCTGTAGTACTTTCCGATTTTTGTAACTAAAATTGAGTAGTTATCGCACTGGTCAGACACTTCCGGGATAGCCAATAGAATTGATTATGCGAGTTCCGGGAAACAGTTCAGAAGAAGAAAAAGAAGCGATCACTAGAACAAGAGGTTTATTTGTCCAGACGTGTCGGATTCCCTCGGGAATCCTTTATCATAGTAGAACAGTCTGAAACATGCGCAGATAAGGGTGTTGCCCTGTCAGGACAAGAAACCTCTTGTTCTAATGATCAGTTCTTCTTCTTCTTCTAAACTTCCGGGATATTTCAGAGGCATTGGTACGATTGCGTAATGGTGATGACGTTTATACACATTCGTCACATTTGCTGACTGGTGTTACTCTGTTTTCGAACCAGGACAATAAAATACTTCTTTCGAAGTAATCGGATAAATTTAAAACTCAATTTGAAGGTAGTTATTTAAACTTGCTGTAGCAGGGTGCAGGCATTTGCGCTTCGTATATAAGGCGCTGGTAACTGGGTGGAAAATATTAGGAAATGCAGACTAGCTACGATTGTACTATGCACGTACATGCCAAGAGTTCTTTTCCAACCGACCTAACTAGAGATGTTTTCTGATTTAGACCCCAGCCGAGGCTGCGAGGTGTCGGTTCAGAGATCACTATCTTCTGTGTATTGTCGGTCCCGTTGCCGGAGGCAGCTTGAATCTCCGCAGTTTTGTTTATCCCCTGCGTTTCTACTGGATGGAGCCGCAGGACATTGTCATCCTCGGAGACCTCAGTATTGTCACAGATGCCGAGTGGGAGACGATCAATAATCTGCCAAATATCACCTTGGTTCAGGTTGGTCCTAGCTGTTGCCTGAAAATGTCTTATTCTGATAGCCATACGACGCGAACAGTACAATGTATTGATTATTTTCTTTTCAGGGCAGCCCCTCTAGTCTGTCAACTCTTAATGCAGTGCGCCTCAGCCACTGTGCGGCCTGTATCATTCTGGGAGAATCAGTAGCCACGTCTGGTGACGACCAGTGTCTTCAGGACAAGAACACCCTCTTCTGCGCAATGACTATTCGCTCGCTGCTACGAAAATCAGCAAGGCTCATCGACGTAACGACTGAATTGCGTGAGCCAACCAATTGGCTTTTTGTATTAGGCTCGTTTAGCCATGATAGAATTATCTATCTCCTTGCTGAAAAGATTTAGAGCAGATTTGCAAATGCCGAATCAAACAAAGATACACAGACAGATAACTATAGAGCGGTCCTCGGAAGGCCAACGTCTACAAGAACCGCTTACTTTCTTACTTTAAGTAGGGTGAATTTCCACAATCTTCCAATTATTCGCACGGAAAATGGTAAGATTTTCAGTGCTTTTATCGACAGCGCTTTTTGAGTAAATATCATGATACATAACTAGTGTAAGACTTGTGAGCACTGTGCGCCCACTTATGAATGGGCTAACGAGAAAGTACAGTACATAATTCGGAATTCTTCAAAACATCCGCTTGAAATCAAAGTAATAAAGGGATTGATTTTTATAAAATTAAACATGCTCCTTTTCTTCAACTATAACATCTGTCCTCGTACCTTCTTTTTCCTCTTCTTTGGGGATGGTGAAGATGATATGATATGTGGACCTCGAATCTTCACGCATAGTGAGGTAGATGTAGCATAAGTCTAACCTCACTATTATCCAGCACAAGTCACCGTCCCTGCACTACTTTGCTGCAGAGCACACGATGGACCTCGTCCAAGAAGACGGTCGAAATGTCGAAATTTGGGATACTGTGTATGAATAACTATTCCAGCCTCATCTAAGTAGTAATTTTCTTAAAAAGCAGATTTCAAAATATCAATAAAAGTTTCATAAGTTTTTTTTTTCTATTTATCCATGACTAACTTCTAAAGTACATATCTACTGAAATTCAGCTGCCGCATACCGGTGCTTTTTTTTGCAGACTATGAACAAAATGCCCACCACTTCAGCTCTGCAGAATCGCACAAACTGGACTTTAAACTGCCCCTGCGCTTCCAGGAATCCTTCGCGCGCGGTATTGTCTTCAGCAACACCCTCCTCTACAGTTCCGTCAGTTCGGTAAGTGAATTGGTGATCTAGCAGTCAACTGCGTAGGTAAGCTGCCCTCATTCTCAGAGGCACGGACAAGCGAGCCTTGTTTAGGCTGATAGTCATGCTGATATCTGTAGCATCTCACACGACTGCCGCTTTTTGGCAAATATATCTTCTCGGCAATTTATCATCGAGTCGGGCCAATCGCATGGATAATGAAAATAGTTCAGTTAAACAGGATTAATAAGTGTTTTATGATTACAACTCATCGTTTTCACGCCGCCAACGCGACGAGAGGTCATTGAGCTGGGGGCGGGGGGAGGAATTAGGATAGGCTGTGAGTATTGGTCATGGGCCAAGTATGTGGATTAAACATTATTGTCATTTGCGCAGAGCGAACGACTGTCGCCAGTGGGTGGGGACGCTAAGGGGACACTCGCTCAGGTTTTCTGCAGAGTCTGAGTTAGATAATGAAATTGTGTTCGATAAGTGAAGTAAGTTGCATTTCGAGATGATATGATGAAAAGAAAGTGTTCGTTAATGTCCTCCTACGAAGGAGAAACAATGGACCTATCCAGCGAACGGTATTCCGAAAAAACACCTGGACGGGACAACACATCAACTTTCACAGATTCGTTCCACTAAATACAAAGTGAAACTTAGTCCAGAAATTGGTAGCTAGAGTGTGACGGATCTGCTCTCCTGAAACTGCTGAAGCAGAACTCCAGCACCTACAGGATACGTTTCTTAAAAACGGGAAGCCAAAGGGGTTTCTCGTCAAGATTATTTGCTAAGGCCCCAAAAAGCCTGCTGCCCTAACTGCTGAAAAGAAGTACATGTTCGTAAGACAGCCTTACCTGGGCGATGAAACAAGCGTGCTGATAAGACGAAGTGTAATGACTGCGATCGTGACGAACTTACGCGAATTCTTCACGAACTCTCCCCTCCTATGAGTGGGAAGTAAAGGCCACCTCCCGCTGAAAGCCACATCGGTGTGTATTTATTCTTTCATGTGATCCTGTGGAGTAGTATACATTGGCCGAACAAAGAGGCGCCTGAAGAAGAGAGTTTGTGAGCACTTACCGACCTGACTAAGTAAAGGTTAAACTAGATTGATCTCAAGTTCTATTCTCACACACCTTGTTGATACGATTCCCCGAGGCGATCTTACCAAACCTTTCGACTTGTTTATCGGACACCAGCCAACTTCTCCAAGGGTCCACGCCAATGGTTACTAGCAACAGCCGAGGCAGTGGTTATACGGCTGGCGAATCCGGTCCAGTGGTATCAGAACATGTGCTCTTGTCTTCGAGGCCGACGCCAGGCGGTGATCGCATGTCGTCCCCACACCTTGATGACAGTTGTTTACGCCGTGTAAATGACAGTAATTGTAATTCTACGTACTCGACTAACGACCAATAATCACAGCAGATCCTAATTGCTCCCCTCCCCCCAGCGCAATAACTTCTCGCCAAGAAAACTATCTTTCGTAATCATAAGACGCTTATTAACCCTGTCCACATGGACTTTTTTCATTATCCATGTAAATTTCCCGGCCCGATGATGAATTGCCGAAGACATCTATTTGTCAAATAGACTTCTCCAGTTAAACATGGCAATATTTGCAGAACACTCGCTTGTCTTTAAGAGATGATGTAGGTGATCATCCCGCACCAGAAAGCTGACCGGCTCGGACGGTGAGAGAGAGAGGTCGACGGCTTAGCGCATTTTACCCGCAATAAACAACCTGACGCGCTTGAAGCTATCACGGGGTACTTAGAGCCGTAGCTTGAAGGACTGCAAACTTAAGGCATTACTCGGACCGAGTGGTCAGTCCAGTGTGTGTTTGTGTGGACTGGTGAACTGCAAGTCAAGCTGCAATTGCTCCTTCTTATTGCAGCCTTTATCGCACCCCTACTTAGCTAGGATCCAGATCAGGTGTGTCGACATGTTTAGGGGCCGCTTCGGCCGCGCCAGCCACCTGCGCCCTCTCCTATATCCGGTTTTCCTGACTTTGGCTTAAACCCCGGACCAGGTGGGCAAGTGGAAGAGTGAGGTAGAAGCTGAGCAAGATTACTCTTCCTATAATCTAACGCACGTTTCCGTTGCTGTACCAGCCTGATGTGGAGCACAGGGTGGATCTCGTCGAAACCTTTCGTATGTATGTGGCCCCTCCTGCATATCGTCCGGTCGCTTTTCCCGAATGATTCATTTAAAAGCTATGCAATTAACTTCCCTACACACAGGAGCAAACCTTGCAGTGCAGAGTATTCTTCATAATTTGGCCGTTAAAGCTTCCTGCGTGAAAGCAGTGGGTAATGTCAAAGCGAAAATTTATTGGCATCCTAGGAAAGCTGACGAACCGTGTTTTGTGAAGTATTGAAAATCATCACTGTTATGGTCGGTGGATTCGTACTTCAGTGGTTGCTAAAAAGTTTACTTTATTACTATTTTTTAGTGTGTGCAGTTCATTAGGTTTCGCTTAGCGACAGCTCATCAAACGGGTTATGCGATGCGCGGATTTTGAGATTCAGTTACGATAATGACCGCTGTCATAGTTAGGACTATCGCTGCGGTTAGGCCTAGGGTTAGTTGTAGTATTTGGGTTATTCGCAGGAATAGGGCTACCACGCTTGGATTATGCTTTGGACTTGGATTTGCGATTGAGGTGGGCTTTTTGGTTTAGTGTTAGGATGTTAGTGTTTAGAGTTATGGTTAGGGTTACTGTAGTGTTTAAATTTTCCCTAAAGGCATACAGGTTAGGAGGTTATGGTGTCCCATTACAGGCATGATCACGGTTGGCGCGTTGGGCTTGTAGTTAACTAAAGTTTTACCAGTAGGATGACGTATCAACCCTTGCCAATCTTTGAATTTAATAAGGTTGATGATTGCACAAACGACACAGTACTCGAACCCGCAAGATTTCCAGCATGAAGGTCCAAGAGGGTATGTTAGACAAGTATACTGTAGGAATACGATTACTCACAGAGAGTCCTCCGCCAGTAGAATTCTCCACCAACTTATGTCGTACATTCTCTCGATGTGAGTGGGTTCAAGAGAGGTCGGGTACTCCCCTTTTAAAGGTCGGTATCAGTGTATCAACACAAATACCTATAAACTTGCTACTCCCTTAATTTCAGTAGATTGACTTTATTTAACGTCGTTTTGACTCTGGCGAAAAGTTCATATTGTGAATTCAGTGAATACGATGCTCACTCTTATCTCAAAAATGTCGCACCTTTTTAATACTTATGTTTCATTATTAATTGTTTTTTCGTCTGTTTACCAAAACGACCTGTGAATAATTTTGCAATTTACCCCTTTCATGCATATCTGTGGAGTTTAATTGGAAGTTTTAAGGCCGTCTGCCATTTA